AAGCTTCGTGTACTAGAGGCCTGGTAGATGGGACAAGAACACTGGGGAAAGAATTTAAAAAGCGCGGGAAATCCTGCTTCAAAATGCCCTACAGCTGGGTTTGGCCAGGGGAAAAGAGGAGCTCAGCGTTGTCATTGAGGGAATCCTGAAGCCTCAAGGAGGAGTGAAAAAACTGAGAGCAGAGCTCCTGACAGGCTGGTCTCTAGAGAAACTACACATCTCAGATCAGCAGTCATCAAGTAAAGCAGTGTCAGACTGGAGCTGCTAAGTGGGGAGGGGGACAGCGCATTCATCTCTGGTACATGATTATTTCTTTGTGCTCTGAAAAATGTTGTAGAATCAAGGAAACGGAGGAACCTGTTGTGGAACTGAGGCCCTTTCTCTTAAGCAGAAATTAAATTCCCATTTGGAATGAAATCTGGCAAGGGATGTCAAGGACAATAAGAAAGGCTTCTTCAAATACATCAGTAGCAAAAGGAAGACTAGGGAAAACGTGGGCCTGCTGCTGAATGAAGTGGGGGCCTGGTGATGAAGGATACAGGGAAGGCAGAGTTGCTGAATGCCTTCTTTGCCTCAGTCTTTACTGCTACGGCCAGCCCTCAGGAATTTCTGACCCTGGAGACAAGAGAGAAAGTTTCGAGAAAGAAAGACTTTCCCTTGGTCAAGGAGGATTGGTTTACAGATCATTTAGGCAAACCTGACATCTGCAAATCCGTGGGCCCTGATGGGATGCACCTACAGGTGCTGAGGGGGCTGGCGGGTGTTATTGCTAGGCCACGCTCCATCATCTTTGGTAGGTCCTGGAGAACAGGAGAGGTGCCTGAGGACTGGAAGAAAGCCAATGTCACCCCGGTCTTCAAAAAGGGCAAGAAGGAGGACCCAGGAAACTACAGGCCTGTCAGCCTCACCTCCATCCTTGGAAAGGTGATTGAGGAGCTCATCCTGGAGGTCATCACTAAGCATGTGGAGGACAAGAAGGTGATTAGGAGTAGTCAGCATGGATTCACCAAAGGGAAATCATGCTTGACCAATCTGATAGCCTTCTATGACAGAATGACTGGCTGGGTAGATGAGGGGAGAGCAGTGGCTGTTGTCTACCTGGACTTCAGCAAGGCTTTGGACACTGTCTCCCCTCACATCCTCGTAGGTAAACTCAGGAAGTGTGGGTTGGATGAGGGGACAGTGAGGTGGATTGAGAACTGACTGGCAGAGCTCAGAGGGTTGTGGTCAGCAGCGCAGAGTCAAGTTGGAGGCCTGTAGCTAGCGATGTCCCCCAGGGGGTCAGTCCTGGGTCCAGTCTTGTTCAGCGTATTCATCGATGACGTGAATGAAGGGACAGAGTGCACCCTCAGCAAGTTTGCTGATGATACTAAACTGGGGGGAGAGGCTAACACACCAGAAGACTGTGCTGCCATTCAGAGGGACCTGGACAGGCCGGAGAAGTGGGCAGAGAGGAACCTCCTGAAGTTCAACAAAGGCAAGTGCAAGGTCCTGCACCTAGGGAGGAATAACCCCAGGCACCAGTACAGGTTGGGGGTTGACCTGCTGGAAAGCAACTCTGCAGAGGAGGACACCCGGAAGTCCTGGTGGACAAGAAGCTAAGCATGAGCCAGCAATGTGCCCTTGTGGCCAGGGCGACCAATGGCATCCTGGGGTGGATTAGGAAGAGTGTTGCCAGCAGGTCGAGGCAGGGGATCCTCCCCTTCTACTCAGCCCTGGTGAGGCCACATCTGGACTACTGTGTCCAATCCTGGGCTCCCCAGTACAAGAGAGATATGGAGCTCCTGGCGTGAGTCCAGTGGAGAGCTACAAAGATGATGAAGGGACTAGAGCATCTCTCATATGAGGAAAGGCTGAGAGAGCGGGGACTGCTCAGCCTGGAGAACACTGAAAGGGGATCTTATCAATATATACAAATATCTGAAGGGAGGGTGTCAAGAGGATGGGGCCAGACTCTTCTCCGTGGTGCCCGGAGATAGGACAAGAGGCAGTGGGCAGAAACTGAACCACAGGAAGTTCCATCTGAACATGAGGCAAAACTTCTTTCCTGTGAGGGTGACTGAGCACTGGCACAGGTTGCCCAGAGAGGTAGTGGAGTCTCCTTCCCTGGAGATACTGAAAACCTGCCTGGACGCGGTCCTGGGCAATATGTTCTAAATGACCTTGCTTGAGCAGGGAGGTTGGACTAGATGATCTCCAGAGGTCCCTTTCAACCTTGGCCATTCTGTGATTCTATGAAATCCTTTACCGATTATTGCACAAAACCACCAAATGCCCAGAAGAAACTTTAATTATTCTGAGCTGCATACCTACGGGAGAGGCCAGGCAGCGGTTGCCTGTGACAGGGACTTAGCTGCCTGCCTAGAGGGCCCATCCTGATGGGTGTGACTATTGTATATGCTGACCAATAATGTGATGCTTCCCCAAAGTGCCAGATGGTGCTTAGAGGGACAGATTTATCCACCTGATAAATGCAGTCCTGAATACCCCAGAGCAACATGTTGAAGGCTCTCCCTAGTTCTGATCCATCCAGGAGTAGGGATCAAGCAGCGCGGTGCTCCGAGGCTCCTCACTGTGCAAAGTATGATACACCCAGATATGGTGATTAGCACGTTTTGCCACTGCCTGCCATGCATTGCTGACTGCAAGGGGTGACGCAGGAGAACTTCGCTTCTGCTGGCTAGTCCTCTCTGTCCAAGAAGCAGGGCCTCCAGCTGCATCATACACAGGCCAAGGAATGACTTTTTTCCCCAACTGCAAAACCGTGACTGTTTCGGATTCAGCACACTGTTTAAGAGCTTCTCTTTCTGTGCTTCCCTTTCTGTAACTTCTCCTGAGACTTGGGAAATGACCCTGTCCTCAAGCAACTGTGGAGGTTTAATTTTTCAAAAGAATCATTGATTCCTGGATAAATATTAATTTTCATTTTAATTTTTAACTTAAATCTTTATGTGAAAATGTTTTTGCACACCATTTAAGGAGATGCTCTGATCTTTGCCCAACTTTACCTCTTTAACGAGTTGCTTCACCCAGCAGGTAATGAATAACTTCTCCTACACAGAGCAAGGGGAGAGTGCTAACAGGCTCACAGCTGGGAGGTTCCCGGATAGGTAATCTGATTGCTTCCTCACTTCCTTCTTTTTGAGAATTGTAAAATAATCACCTCTTGCTCTTGGCAATTCTTCTGGTATGAAAAGATGCCGTTTCTACGACCATTTCCTGCTACCTCTCCTTTCTGTATGGAGCCCAAAACACCTTACAGAAATGACTATAGCAAAAGCTCCGGAAACAATGGCTGCATTCACAGCGCAACCCTGACTCACTCTCCAGGGCTGCCCAGCCTAGGGGCAGAGCAGTGCTCCGCAGAGTCCTTGAGAGGGTTGCTCAAAGCCACGTAGAAAGTCATTGTCCAAGCAAGGAGACAAACACAGATAGCCAGACTCCCAATCTCCTGCTCTTACCACAAGAAAATGCTGTTTGTAACACCATTGGGTTTGAGTTGGATAGACTATTCCAAGGCAGTGCAAGGACTCAGTGCGAAAGGACTGAGTACAAACAGAGATGCCATTTTGCTCAGTCATCGGCCTGCCTGATTTGTGTAGGAGGCTGCAGATTTGAATGCAAGTTATATGTCTTGTAAATCTGGAGCTGCCTGCACCTTGGAACAATCACAAAGTGTCTGGAAGGCTGACACCGTCTCATATCACAGCGAGGAGTGCAAAATCGTTGCGACCCAGAAGGGCTCAAAAAAGATGTCATGTGCTCTTTTCCTACCTACGGGACTGTTGCATATTTTGTGAGACTGGGGTAGTTTTACAAAAGTGATGTGTATTTCCTCTAATGGTTCTGGCAGGTCCCACTGTTAGAAGCTGCCAGAAACCAGTTGGACAGCAGATCTTTTACAAGGCCTTCCACATATATATTGATTTAATAATATAGCTCTCTAAGGCACAATTTTTGTATTACTTTTGTTGTGTGAAGAGTGAAAGTGGAACCAGTTAACATGATGCGGGGAGCAGAAAGAAATGCTCCTCACTATAAGACTCAATGATAAAAAAGGGACGCACAAAACTGATTTGTGACTTTGGAGTTGGCAGCAGTGAATTAGTTTTTCACCAGGCCCTGGTGGGAAAAAAACATGGGGAGTTCAGCAACTCTGCGTTTAAATGAGCTTTCCATAATGTAGCCAGCAGTAAGGAAGGGTAAGAAGTGTAAAAGTGTCTTGGTAGGTGTTTTAACATCGGACTGGCAAATCATTCAAGCCTGGCAGCCCAAGGACTTTTAAGTTTTTTGAGGGGAACCTGTTGCTGGTCAGAGGCACTGGAAACCCATCACATAGGGATCAATCTAAGGGCTGCTGGATGGCCCCACAATGCTGACAGGAGAAGCCCAGTATCCCTGAAGTGAGGCGGGAAGAAGGATGGCAAATCAGTAAGACAGCAAAGGACCTGAATGTGAAGCAGCTGACTGTGAACACAGCCTTACCAGCTGATGTAATGGCAGCACAAAAGCAGCCTATAGAGCTACGCTGACGTAAGGTGGAGTAGGGCAGCTCCCTGCCTGCAAAGTGTATAGGTCTTTGGGACAGCAGAGATTCAAGCAAGTAGTCAATACATAGGAAGAGCATAGAGGTAACAACAGAGCTTCAAATCTGCAGTGGGAACAAATGCATCCTGAATTTTTTGTTCATGAAGACTGACCAGTTCTGTGTAAACTGTGACCAGTTCCCTGGGAGAACATGCTTCACTTCAAGGACAGAAGAACCTGGAAGAGGCTGTCCACTTGGCTTCAGGCATGAAACCTGCCTTGTCCCACTGTGTGGGGAGCCAGCGAGCCTGCACCATCGCTAGCAGTGTTGGACTTTGCCTTCTGCGGATATAATGTCCAAATTTTGTGGAGAGCTGGGGGAGGGGGGAAGGGTTGTGCAAAGCTGAGCAAAACCCCTGATGTCAGTTACTCTAAATAAATAAAATGTGAGTTTCCTAAAACACATCTCTCAGTAGTTTGCCAGAAAGGCAGGCTCTACCAAAATATGGCTGCTTTCATATCTCTCTTTATTTGTGGGTTGTGTGTGTTGCTTTTATTAACTGCACTCTATATTTCAAAAGGTTTGAAGCAGTCAGCTTTAAATTTGCCTCCTGGTCCATTTCCTCTTCCAGTCATTGGTAACCTGCATTTGTTGGATATCAGAAGGCAAGATAAGTCATTAATGAAGGTAAGAACAAGCGTCCTTTGTTTTCAGTATGTTGAATGTTAGCACTTGCAGTTTAAAACTCTGTCTCCGGGAACACTTCTGAGATAATTGTTCAGTGTCAAATACAGTTTTAAGAAACTAATAAGTTTTAAAAGTTTCAAAATGTCTAAGGAAACTGTTAAATCCCAACTCTGCAAAGACTGATATTAAATATGTGTAGTCCTTATTTGAAAATAACTGCGCACACATTGAAAACTATGTGTGTCTGCATCAGTCAGGACCTGTGGACCTGGCATTTCTTGTGTTGTGAAATACTTGAATATATTTACGTGCCCAGGTAACCAAGTTGAAAGATGGATGCTTAACTGTGGTTGCCAAAAAATCTTGTATTTGTTATTCGTGACGCCAGTGTTTCGTGAGAACAGGAGTTAGTACAGCACAGCTTAGACGAGAGATGTAAGACAAATCATTTGAAATGGCAAATGACTTGGAGTTATGTGAAACTCGGCGGACGTAGGAATCACAAGTGCCCTGTGTCTGTGTTCCAGAAAAAGGGGGAAATTTCAACCTGTTTATTCTCTCAGAGGTAAAATGTGGAACAGTGGCCTTTCCATGTGTCAGGACAACAGGATGTGATTGATCAGGCATTGATTAGGACTGATCAGCTAACACTAACCCTTGATACCATCAGGTTCCAGGCTGCCAGCAGCCTTCCAAGCTGCTTGGCACTATTTAGGTAAAAGGAGTTGGCTTCCCTGTCTTGCTGCCGTCACTGTGGCATGTGAGGGGCCTCCACAATGCCTATTTGGATGTGTCTTCATCCCTGTTCTTATTCCACCAGCCAGCGCACAGTGAGCTCTCCTTCCAGGGCTTGGGAACTGGGAAGTAGTTTGGACTGTGGTAGTTCCTGTTTCTGCCAAGACCTGGAATTCTTCTGTAGAGGTGGATAGGAGAGAAGGGGGGTTGGGCTGGTGCGTGGAAGTGCTGGGAAGAGTGCGCAAAGTGAGGTCGGAAAGGACATGAGGACCTAGGAGCATGGCAGTAGCAGCTTAGTGAAACACAGACGTAGGGGAAGGTGAGAGTATCAAGCAGACTGGCTGCAGCGATGGCTTCCCCCCCTTGAATTTTAGCATCAAAGAGCCAACTGGGAAAGGAAACTGCTGCCAATCAGACATGGTCATGCCTGCTCTGCCCTGACTCTCACTGGCATAAAGAACTGCAAAGGGCAGAGGACAGTGAGAGGGTTCACCTGGGCTGCAGCAGTGGGCAGGATGAGGGTGGGTTTGATGTGAGGGTGCTGGGATAGGGAAGCAGAGGTGTGCCATAGGGTCTTGCACCTGGCGGAGAGGAGCTATTGAGGGGATGACAGAGGCCAAGAACATAACAGAGAAACAGGTAACACGGGCTATCTGCAGAGGAAAGCAGTTCTGTGTTGGTAAAGCAGAGTCTTTAGTGGTTCCTCACCCTGTACAAGCAGCACCCTGGAAATGTGCACATCTCCTAGGTCATGGGCTGTTCCTTGGGGTAGTGGCTGCAGTACTGAGCTCTTTGTCAGCTGCTGTTCTTTCCACTGCTGCCCCAGTAATGCACTGTGCTTTAGCTGGCCTTCACATGTTGACAGACAGACACTTTGCACATGAGACATTCCCTTGGAGGCAGGTCCAGGTAATACATTTCGTATTAGGCTTGTGGAATTGCAATAATGATTTGATGGCTGACTTGCCAGAAGGCTTTTAAGGTATTAGCAAATAAATGACATGAAATAGAAAATCTTCCCTTAAAGGAGACTCCCTAAAGGATGTCATCGTGAAAGTTGCACAGTACATGATGCAGCAACTGAAGCCTTATTTTGAACAAATGACTGAAGTCACAGAGTCACAGAATGGTAGAGGTTGGAAGGGACCTTTAGAGTTCATCTAGTCCAACCTCCTTGCTCAAGCAGGGTCACCTAGAGGAAACTGACCAGGACTATGTCCAGATGGCTTCTGAATTTCTCCAAAGAAGGAGACTCCACAGTCTCTCTAGGCAATCTATTCCAGTGCTCAGTCACCCTTGCAGTAGAAATGTTTCTCCTTATGTTCAGATGGAATTTCCTGTGTTTCAGTATCCATTGCCTCTTGTCCCGTCACTGGGCACCACTGAAAAGAGTCTGGCTCCATCTTCTTTATACCATCCCTTCAGATACTTATATGCATGGATAAGATATCCCCCCCCGCCAAAGGCTTCTCTTCTCCAGGCTGAGCAGTCCCCGCTCTCTCAGCCTTTCCTCATATGAGAGATGCTCTAGTCCCTTCATCATCTTTGTAGCTCTCCACTGGACTCACGCCAGGAGCTCCATATCTCTCTTGTACTGGGGAGCCCAGGATTGGACACAGTAGTCCAGATGTGGCCTCACCAGGGCTGAGTAGAAGGGGAGGATCCCCTGCCTCGACCTGCTGGCAACACTCTTCCTAATCCACCCCAGGATGCCATTGGTCGCCCTGGCCACAAGGGCACATTGCTGGCTCATGCTTAGCTTCTTGTCCACCAGGACTTCCGGGTGTCCTCCTCTGCAGAGTTGCTTTCCAGCAGGTCAACCCCCAACCTGTACTGGTGCCTGGGGTTATTCCTCCCTAGGTGCAGGACCTTGCACTTGCCTTTGTTGAACTTCAGGAGGTTCCTCTCTGCCCACTTCTCCGGCCTGTCCAGGTCCCTCTGAAAAAATCAATGTCTGTGTTAACTATTTTGGCTACAGCATAAATAAAAACAGTCTGGATATGACGCTGAAGTGCAGATTAAACTCTGCCTGGACTACCTGTTTGCTTGGGCACAGCTGTTACTGAACTTTGAAGCCTTCTCTGGTTTACATTGTCAGAATTGGTCTCCTCTTATGGGACAACAGACTAGATCTCAGGGTAGTTTTGTAAGAATATAATTCCATTGCTCTCCATCAAATCTTAAATCATCGTAAGGCCTGGCAGGATCATGTTTGTGAGCCTCCAGAGAGCTCCTGCTACGCGGTACCTCAAATCTCACAAAGTTTTAGTGGTTGGTATAAAACCTGTCCTGCTATGCAGTGGCTTGAAAGCTATGTTGTAGCAGAAACAAAAGCAGAGTATATTGTTGTGGCAATTCTCTGAGATAGGCTGAATGTACAGTGGTTTCTTATGCCTTGATATACCCATTCTAGGTGAGTCATATTGTACATCTTTGCGTTAATTGTGACAAAGCCTCTATTTGATGTGCTGTGCTAGATAAGGATGCCTCGGCTCTTTCATCCTCTTGTGGTGGACTGTAACATTGCAGCCTGCCAGGTCAGCAGTTCATCCATTGCTATCTGGCCGCTTAATGCTTTTGGGCGGTTGTTAGTATCAAAAGTGTCTTGTTACATTCTGCCTGTTTTAATCCACTGGGCCAAACTATGCACGTACAACCAACTCAGAATAGGAGTGGGTTTATGGAAACTGTTGGGTTACGTAGACCAGTGTTCGTTTGCTCTGATTTTTGTTTCATTTGAGCGTCCCAGGGCTTAAGCTTTGGCATCCCTCCAGCCCTCCTGACCACAGAACAAATAGTAAAGGCAATTCTTTAACCACCGCAGTGGGATGTACTGCTTCCACTGATTACTTCCTCACTGTGCTTTTTCTTTCTCCCTAGATTTCAGAGAAATACGGCCCCGTGTTCACTGTCCATTTGGGATTCCAGCAGACCGTGGTGCTGACTGGCTATGAAGCAGTGAAAGAAGCTCTTCTGAACACTGCTGATGTATTTGCAGACAGACCAGCTATACCCATATTCTATCACATCCAGCATGGAAATGGTATGAGCAGTTTGGAAAGATGAGGACGTGTTTACTGTGCTGTTCTCAAATGTATTGTTGGAATTGCAACAGTATTTAAGAATCTTGAGCCAGGCCCTTACAGTCAAGACCTACATTTTGGGGGGCTTGTGTGGGGGTTGTTTATTTTTAAGAGAAATGCCCCCCCCCTTTTTTTTTTTTTTTGCTTTAGAGGCACTTGGGTCACATTTTGAGGATTTTTTGCAGCGCAGAGGATGGAAATTATTTTTCACATGAAAGCTGAGGTTCTTATGCAATCTCTTTGCTGCAGTAACTGGGAGTTCAGACAAAGACAGGATCACGCATGACTCATGATAAAGACTGCAAGAACTGGCAAGAGTGCAATAGCATGCGCCGTTCATACCTCAAACAATTACTTCTGTAAACAGATTTTTGGCATGTTTCTGAACTGCATGTTAAAAAGTAATATATTGCCCAAGACTAGACATTGAAAAACAATGAAGGGACTAATCCAGGGCTGAAAGGAAAAGATTTGATGACCTAATATGTATAGAATGCGTACAGCGTGTGGGTCTTTTTCCTCTCGTTTTATAATAGCGAGGCCCAGTGTGAGGAAGGGTACACTATGCTACTTTTCTAACCAGCGAATGAAGGCGTAGACTATGTTCAGTCCTTGAAGCCTCTCTGGGAAAGGATGACTTTTGAATTAAACCCAAGCAACTCTGTGTCCTCTTGGCTGAGCATTTCCAGCTATGCTATCTGGTACAGACCAGCATAGCACAGCACTGAAAAAAAATGCTTGAAAGTTATCACCGTGTTCCAGCTTCTCACGGGCCAGGCAGGCTGGGTCCTCTCCTCCGGGCCCTCTGGATGCAGGCGGGGGAGTGTGGAGAAGAGCTGTGCTTTTGCTTTGTTCCTCGTTCAATGCCGTGCCAGTGCCAACCATGGAGGAGCCACGGCTGGGGAGGGAGCTCAAGGCCTGCCGTTGAGCACGTGTGATGCTTCGGCCCCAGGAGCTGGCCACCTTTGGCTACGAGCTGTGGGGAGTGGACAGTCCTCACTACAGATAGGCTTTCACTGCTGTGCTGGTCGCTGTCAAAGTGAGTTTTTGGCTGACTTGATTAACTAGCTTTTAGGGTATTTCCCAGCTGTAAGCAAAGGTGCCTCCCTAATGCCCATTCCTTGTCTCCCTGCACAATGTAAAGTTCATCCTCTAAAACACAGGCTGTTCGGTGAAGTGGTTTATGTTTGTGATATGGACAAAACGGTGTCGTCTGCTGCTAGCCTTGCTCTCTGAAACAGCTGGGTTGTTTTTCCAGAGAAAAACAACTCAGTCTGAGACAAATACCATACAAAGAACATTTTGCTGTGTATGGCTGCAAAGAGACAAAGCTATACACAAGCAAAACCCAGAGCTTTGATGGGAACAGCAACTGTCTATTTAAATGACTGACTTCTGCCCTAATGAACTTACCTGGGGATGTGGCTGCCTAGGCCAGCCCTGCAGTGAGCCCTCCAGTCCTCTCCCAAGCAGGCTCCTCTAGGGAGGATTGTCCACAAAATGTCTGTGCTCCCTGACTGTCTTCTCAGTGTTTCTGTGAAAATCCTGTGTAAAAAAAAAAAAAAAAAAAATTCTTGGCAAACACGATGTGCGATCCCTCTGCAGGTGTGTTCTTTTCTTCTCAAGAGCTCTGGAAAACAACACGCAGGTTCACCATGGCAACCATGCGGGATCTTGGCATGGGGAAACGACTGTCAGAGGAAAGGATTCTGGAAGAGCTTCACTTTCTTGTCGACCTCATCAGGTCCTTTAAAGGTGAGCTGGAGATTTAGAGATGAAGCATCGGTTGTTTTATGTTGCTTTACGGAGCTACCATAAAGACCTCTAGGTTGCTCCAGAAATGACAAATACCGTTATGATTTTGTTCATTTTCAGGTGGACCTTTCAGATTACGATTCTTGAATACGGCCCCCACCAACATCACTTTTGCTATACTCTTTGGGAGAAGGTTTGATTATAAAGACCCAACGTTTGTCACTCTCTTAAGACTTATAGATGAAGTCATGATCCTTCTTGGCTCTCCATTCTTGCACGTAAGTTGTCTGTGCTGAAAGTCTCTAGTACCTTGTCTGAGTTGGTTGGTCAAGCAGACTTCTATTGCTGGACAGTTTTTGAGAGTCTTGAGGGTATTGGAACTTAAGATTCTTTGCTCTGTGTTTTTTCTCCTTTATGAAATCCCATTGCAGATACTGCAATGCCCTGCAAAAAAGGTGCAGCATCACACAGTAGCACTAGAATGAAAGTGTGAATGTGACCTTGCTAGCAGAAAACAGGAGCTGTGCAGGGCGGGAGAAAGCTCAGGAGCATCAATGGAAATCCACACTATAGACTCTGGCCTTTAAATATTGATCTTTAGTCAGATTATATAGCAAACTTTGCGGTTTAAGGTAACTTGTAATCGCCCACGAGGAAATAGACCCTAATATAGGACGGGGATCGGGAATTTGGGCAACCTTCTTTCTTCAGCATTTCACAGTAACTGCAGGAAAAATTTCCTGGTGTGTGTCTCAAAAATATTTGTCACGTTTTGGCAGAGAGTTCAGAGAGATTCTGCTCACCTTTTTTTTTTTTTTTATTTGGTCAAAGTCTTTCCAGCTGTCGCCCAAGCATCAGCAGTACCCAGAACAAACCACAACATACCAGCAACTCCTGCTCCCTAATATTTGCAGTCCAAATGGGGCTCAGAGGGAAGAGACAGAGAAATCAGGTGCCTCTTGGAGTGAATGAACAGGGTTTCTTTCTTTTAAAACACATCAGTGATAAAACTATTGAAATATTGATTTTCTGTGTGTATGTACCATTGGAAATAGCCAGGCCTATGTCAGTTAATATCTACTGAATGCTGTGTGACTGTCCCCACAATAACTGCTTGTCCTAGGGACAAGTCCTCATGTATTTAGGAGCTACTAGGATTTGATTTTTTTGGTCTCTTGCTACTCTTTAAGAAGCTAGTGAAGTTACAGAGGAAAGATTGCAGGTGTGATTGCACTGTTTGGGGGCACCTCATGGCTGTCATCATGGCATTAAATCAACTGGAAAGTGAGGGCATACCTGCTAAACAGAGCAGCACAAAAAGTATATTACAATTAAGAGGCTCTTACCTGAGCAAACAGCTCTTATTAAGTTTAATCCTCCGTCAAAAGGACTAGACTATTAGTTACTTAAGTTAATGTCAAAATAGTTGTTCAAAAAGCTGTTTAAAAAAAAATGCTGATGAATTTATTACCTGAAGGAAAATTATTTACAACAAAAGAGATGAGCAACATCCCTTTTTTTTTTTTAAATCTTTTAGGCAGGCTTAGATTTTGCAGGAAACAGCAAAAATTATAACCAATTAGCACAAGGTAAAGCATGAGATTTGTGATTTTTATCCTGCAGCCGGCTTATTTATAACATGGAGAAATGGTGTAAGTAACCCCCCTGCACATAAAGAGAAACTGTTTATTGTGCTGTGAAATTTAATGGTACTGAGAACTGAGTGTAATTGATTTATAATTCATGTGAAAGTTAAAAATGATGATCTAACAACTTTAAAACATAAGCATTTTGGCTTGCTAAATGTTTGGGGTTTTCTTTGCTAAAACGTAATGCTTTATCTTTTTGCTTTATTGCCTCTTTAAAAGTGTAATTTCATTGTTTCACCAGTTTACTATCACTTTCCCTTAATTGTATTTTTTAATTCGTGTTTATAGGCTATGTCTAGACAAGTCTGATAGGCTCATTCATTTCTGCAGAGAATTTTTAATAAGAGGAGACATTTTATACACTAAAATTTTTTTCATTGCCAAAAAAATGAGAGACTCCAATAAAACGTTATTTAGTTATGCACATAAATGGTTTCTCCATTCTGATACTTAAATTTTACAACATAATGAGTGAATTTAAATTTTTTTGTTTTAATCTTGTTTTCCTGTTTTTTTTTCCTTTTTTCTTTTTCAGTTATTTAATTTCTACCCATTCCTTGGATTTCTCTTCAAACCTCACAAGATGATACTGAAAAAAGTGGAGGAGGTGTGTGTAATCTTAAACAAATACATCAAGGAAAGCAAAAAAAACATTAATGGAAACAACTTGACGAGCTACATCGATGCATTAGTATTCAAACAGCAAGAGGTATATTAATAATATATTGATTCTTTGTGTGATATCTTATGCAGAGACACTCCAGGTTGTTTGCCTAATGAACATGCTCTACTAAGGTTTATATGAAAATATTTGTATTTGGGGTAAATGTACTCTTATTATAACACAGATTTTTCATCCTCGTTAAATACTAGATACTGCAGGAAAAGCAAGAAAGAATTCACTAGACCATATAGCACGAAAGTGTAAAACTTGTCCTTGGGTGTCAGCTTCTTACTGGAGAAGGCATCATACTCACAAGCACTCATCAGCATTTCACGAATCTCTCTCTGCACTCAGAATCTCCCCTGCACGTGTGACACATTGTCCCTACAGCACCAGGCAGGCACCTCTCATCTCTCTCAGGATTGTCAGGATGCACAGATACAGGATGGAAGTGCTGATTGTGTTAGATCACTACTGCCCAGAGAGGATAAATGCCATGAGGTGCTGAAAATCAAAGAATTTGTCAAAATATTTCAAAATTTTGGCAAAATCTTGAATGCCAAAATATTTCTGCTGAAAACTAAAGCATTTCTATACTGAAATAATAATGCAGCGTGTCACGGGACTTGTAATTCACTTGCTTCCCACTCCAGTGCCTCTGAAGACTAAGTTTACCACCTTGGGATGGTATCTCCTGTGACATCTTGCAGGGAGCATCTGTTCTAGATAATGAGAGGTTTTCTGTCATGACACTCATCATTAGAAAAAAGTGTCAAAAAATTAATAAGTAGGTGTGTCTCAGACTGTTTGCAGAAGTATTTGCATATAAAAAGAGTGGATGTTGGAGGTGGTTCCCAGAGAAAATGCTGGTTTTCAGCTCTCTTCCACATCCCATGATCATATGACCCTGGGTTTGAGAGGCCGCATAGAAGTACTGTTCCAGTTCTGTATTTTTCTTTTTATTTCTCTAAAGGAGAAAGATAAAACCAATACCTCCTTTTATGATGCAAATATACTGGCTTCTGCACTCGACCTGCTCATGGCTGGCACTGAGACAACATCCACAACATTGCAGTGGGCCATCCTGCTAATGATGAAGTACCCCGAGATTCAGAGTAAGACACCTTTATGGTTTTGCTTTTCATACATAGGATACTATTAGATCTCTGCAGTGACTTCATGAATGCTGATCCCCTGTGAAAGCTTCATAGCTTCTCATGTGTGCCAGAGTATTCAAAACCTATGCATCTGAAACATGCCCATCTCTGTCTAAGCATTTTATGCTGTCATTCAGGAATAGGTTGTTCTCATATCTGCTCCCAGGGGCTGTGCAACCTCCTGCCCTGCCACTCCTCACTGCCCTGGGGTAGTTCTGCCAGCAGTCAGCCTGGGTTGGAAGTTGGAAGGTGCTTTACCACTGAGGGAAACTCAGTTCATTCCTTTACCTTTTCCCTGCAGAAAAGGTGCATGCAGAGATTGTGCGAGTTCTTGGCCCTGGCCGCTTGCCTACCTTTGAGGACCGGAAAAACATGCCATTTACCAATGCAGTGATCCATGAAGTGCAGAGATTTATCACCCTCCTGCCACACGTTCCACGGTACACCTCTGCTGACACTTACTTTAAAGGCTACTTCATCCCTAAGGTACATGCTGCTCTCAAGATGAAGAGTAGGGTGGTTCCCATGCAGCACACCAGTGACCCACAGCGAGGAATGTCACAGGGAGAGGGAGAGGGAGAGCCTGAGACACAGGGCTGTTGATGGGAAAGACCTAGTTCCCTAATTCCCTGACTCCTCAGTGTCCAGACCTATGGCAGTGTGACTTCATGGTTATACAACCAAATTCCCATTTCTTTTAGCTCCGCTTTTCTCATTCAGTCCTCATAACCTGGAATCTTGATTGTGCTGCAGGGAACAACAGTGATTCCTCTGCTCACCTCTGTGCTGCTGGATAAAACGCAATGGGAGACACCAGATGAATTCAACCCCAACCATTTCCTTGATGCGAGTGGGAACTTCGTAAAGAAGAAAGCTTTCCTGCCCTTCTCCACAGGTAATGAAAGTGTTTGATCCTGCACAGAGCTCAGAGTGCTCAATGCCACTCAGAAGACAGTGGTCAAGGGACAGGATAAGGGCTTCTGTTAGGAACAGTACACAGATTAGTGGTGGGGATATTTTAGAAATAATCTGCCATGAGTTCCGATGAGTTGCAAACAGCCTCTCAGCCCACACTTGGAGGCATGCTTGGCCCTGATATATTATTTAAATACACCTCTGGGAACTACAAAAGACTTAAGACCTTCAAGCAAAAGCCTGCTTTGCCTTGGGAAGGCCAATTTCCACGTTTAATTCCCAAATCAATTCCTTGCAGGCTCTGACTGTAACAGCCCTGTTTGAATGTGTGTCAGACCAGTGGCCACGGCTGCTGAATATCGCTCCGTGTTATTTTGCATTTCTGAGGCCTGTACTGTCCCTCACACTGCTGCTGCCAAGTAGTAGAGAAGAGCTGTCGAGCTGAGCCATTGCTTACCTAATCACACTACAAATGGCCATGCTTTTGGCGTTGCAGGGCGGAGAAACTGCATTGGAGAGAGTCTGGCCACGATGGAGCTCTTCATCTTCTTCACAGGCTTGATCCAGAAATTTACTTTTAAGCCCCCAGCTGGGGTCAGAGAATCCGAGCTGGACACAACTGCAGAGGCTGGATTCACCATGAGACCTCATCCACAGTGTGCCTGCGCTGTGCTACGTGAATAAACCCAAGGCTCTAGACCGAGAAAAATCCATGTAATTGTTTTGCACAGAGTCCAACAGATGCACAAAGGAGAAACTAGATCCCTATGCAGTAGAAACAACCAGTTTATTCTTACTCAAGGCCTTGCAAGTGTTGACTATATGCTTAAAATATTTGTTGAGCAAATATTTTTGTAAGAAAGTGAGGAGACCCAGTGGGTAAGGTTACCTGGAAAATTCCAGCCAGATACATGACTCAAAATGGCAGGACAGTCATTACTTTTCTTTACACATTAAATACATGACGTAAGAACTTATCCTAGTTCTGGGTGTCTGGGAGATAACGTTTCTCAGCAGTGGTTTATTTCTTCATTTGGAGAGCAATGAGAGATGCAGACATGTCATCCCCAAATCCCAGCTCTTTTCCCATTCCCTACTGTACAGCTGATATATCGTTCCCAGATACCTACTCATTCTATGTCCTATGGATGCTCCTCCAATACCTTCCAGACTTCTGGTTTTGAATCCCAGGTACTGAGCCTTGGACTGTTTAGGTTCCCCTTGTTCTGGGGGACCTCAGCTTAGTTTCTTGGGACTCTCTGGCCCTTTCTGGGCACTGGCTCTGCTACCCCTGCACTGACATAGAACTTGACAGATCTCCACTGAGAAGTCAAAACCCCCCTCTTCTACATTTTTCTAGAGGTAGGTCAGATATGTAAGCACAGCCTCCTTTCAGACCACCAGGTTTGGACGAGCAGGCATGCCAACGTTGCAAAGATGCTTCTACAATGCTCTTTCTTTAAGTGGCATAGAAGCTGGGCAAATCTAGGCAGAGTGAGGGATAACTCATCCATCTCCCCTTTCCTTCCTTCTCCCAGTATTCTGTGAAATTTGTTGGAATCCTCCCTTTTCCTTATATTGTTATCTCCTCTCCTCCTCTGAAAGTACTAGAGATGGAACTTCCTCTCATCCCCCCTTCAGTGCAGGCAATAGGACACTTATTCATAGCTGCTCCCTTCTTCCTTGGTCTGAAATGTTGAGTGGAGGCCAGAAGGATCCAATAAGACTGCAATGGGAAGTGAGCCGAACCATTGTCCCACAAGGTGTTTTGTCACATAAACCCGTAGGAGAAGACGAGGTGGAAGAAAATCCTTATATGCTCCAGGATGGGGAGGAGAAGTCTCCTCCTGTTCCCAGTGTACCACTTGATTCTTCCAAGTTAATGATAAATACTGCATATGTCTTTGTGCGCCCAGCCTTGCTCGCAGGTGAACCCATTTGGATCAGGGGTGCCTAAAGCCTCAAAACTTAATTCTGCTCGCCTTATAAAGCCCTTATCATGGATGGCAGGATGTTTTACCCCAGTTAAGGACTGCAGAGCTGGGCTGTCTGTCACTCAAAGGGATTGTGGTGCCATCTCGTGGCAAAAGGAAAATAGAAACAATATTCTGCATGACGGTTATTGCTATGGCCAGTGTGCAGAGGGGTTTCAAATATAAGACAGCCCTCATTTTTTGAAGCTATATAGCTGCTGCAATCCTTGCAGTTGAGCATTGCCCCTTTGAGAGCACCAGCTCCTGGGTGTGCAGCACTGAGGACACCAGGCTGGGCTGCAGGCAGGCTCTAGGCTGATCACAGGCACCTGCCACAGGGCATACTGCCCAGCCTGCTACAGGTCACAGACATGATGTGAGATGAAGTAGTTCAGATCTTTAAAAATCAAACCACCTGTCCTGCCCCCAGATCTTTGTCTTCTCTTCAGGGCACAAACATGTTTTTCAGCTAGAAGGAAGACCCTCAGGGCCACTGAGGAATGAGGAAATGATATTTCCACCCATTTTTAAGCCCCGAGAGCCAATGTTTTCTGCTAGATAAATCTGTAGCTGAGTCATAATCAATGTTCTGCCATCATTTGGCTGAACAAATGAATGGGAGGAAGCACTTTCTCTTGCAGAGATATATTCAGCTGTCTAATTCTGTGTGCTTGGGAGTGATCTCTTCTATCCATCTGCTAATGCAAGCACAAATAAGATACATTTTTTAAAGGAATCAAGGAGCTGGTTTCCTGTGCGCATTTGCACCTGGTAGTTCATATCTCTTGTTGGTGTTCCCTGATGCACTAGTATGGCTCCATCTTGCTAGATTTCTGTATGTGGCCAGCAACACCGCAGGCTATGGTCTGCCTTCCAGAGAGTACCAGCGTGGAAAGTGATGTCTGGAAAGCGCAGGCACTGAAGGTTGCTATGCAATGTGGGAAAACCATCTCTCTCCTTCAAAGCCAAGACCCCCAAAGCCAGTGACAATGAGTCAGGTCTGAGATTCCCCCAGTGAATTAGTTCAAATTTGAACCCAGCCCCTTGCTGTCTGTTGCCATTCCCCCCGTCCCCAGTGGATTATTGTCACTTCTGTCTTTTGAGTTCATATTACTCTCAGAAAGGAGCTAGAGCAGGAACAGTCCTGGTCTCTCATAAGCCAAAGGCAAAAGTATTTTTGATTTCAGCAAAGCCAGGACTTCCTTCAGCATTTCAGCCACTTCACAGCTAATGTGGCAGAGTAGGCAGAGCTGTTGGGAAAGCCAAGGCCAGAGTACAGAGTGGATGGGTACTTGCTCCTGAGTTGGTTTACCTGTCTTCCCCCTAGGAAGACCCCGTCTTACTGCCACCACCCCTCAAGAATGACATTGCCACCAGGTGATGCTTTGGGAGGACAAAGATGCTACAGACATTGGAGGATTAAAACTTTATTGGGTTCCCATGAAGGAGGAAATATAAACATTACGATAATGTAGATGATAAGGTAATGAATATGGAGCAGTAGCAATTCACAGGCGCAGGATGAGGATGGAAAAATGCCTGAGCTCCACATGAACTGGAGTAAGGCTGAGGAATATGTTGGCAGATAGGAGCACTACAGACGGGGTGACAGCCAGACAAAGCTACAGAGCAGAGGAAAAAAAACAAAACTAGGTCTCTTCTGATCCCTGATTCTAATTCTGCATGTGTGTGTGCGCGCGCGTGTGTGTGCGCGCATGCGCGTGTGTGTGTGTAATACAAGCACCATGAAATTACACTCCGTTTGCAAGGAAATCACATGTTTGGTTCCAATGGCCGGATCATCCCAAATGCCAGACTGATTACCCATGAGGTCCAAAGAGATGGAGAGTGTTTGTTCTTATTTAACAAAGTCAGGAAAAGCAGAGAGCTACAAAAATGGATCTGCTTTATTTTCCATAACGTTTGCATTTATGATCAGTTTCTGATACAATTCTCACGTAGCTTTATGATTTAAACTGCAGATTTAAACTCCATCCTTGAATCACATGAATCAGTCTGGTTTTTCACTCCAAGCTTTTGATTTTGGCTGCCTAGCCTGGTAGGATTTTGCTAGAAGCTATGGATAATTAGAGAGCCTGGAGAAGTTCAGAAGGTACCTACAGATGATTTAAGTGCTGTGACCAACAGCGCATTTCTGTGGCTCCCAGCAAATGGCAATGTTTATCTCTTCACAATGCTTTTAGGGAGATTTCTGCAACATTCAGAATCTCGCTGCTTTGCCATGGGAGCCTGGATGTCAGACCTACGACTCATGCGCTGCTTGCCCTTCACCAGACAACTTTCTTTGTCCTTCCAGCTGCTCCATGCACAGCGTCCCTCTCTTGAGAAGAGGTATCTGTGTGTCACTGCTTCCTGGCCTACTAGCCAGCCCACCATTCAGAGGATATTTATCAAGTAGCCGGAAGGATCGTGGTTTTTAATTGACTATATACACCCTCTCACAGCTCAGGAGTAAAGAGGGGTAAGCAACCTATGGGGCAGATGTGGAGGTGGAGAGCAGTGGAGTGGGAGTGGATGGAGACAGTTGGAAGGGGGTATGAAAGAGGGTGATGTAGCAGAATGGGAGGTGGTGAGTCCTAGCTTGGCTACGTTGGGTCTAAGTGGCTCCCCCGCTCACCTGAGTTGCTCTTTAACAAGGTTGTAGTTATTCACGCAGGACAGCACAGGTTGCCTGAGGCTGAGGCCTTAATGTGAAAGTCGTTTGGGGGACGGTAAGGTCCAAGTCGGACTCTGAAACTCCTGGCTGGGGTTGAAAAGTAAATGTCTGCAGCAACCCTACAAAGAAGACAAACAGCTCCATCTTGGCAAGGCTTTCTCCGATGCAGTTCCTTCGTCCTGCAGATGGAAGCAGTGTGTTTACTTGGTCAAAAAATCAAGCTGAAATTTTTGTCATAGACATGTTAGCGTCTGAAATACAGTAATGGAGGCAGAAGTGAAATCTCTCTGATGGCACCAGACATTATTTTGGAGCAGAGGAGCCCATGTTGCTAAGGGTAGTTGTCCCAGTCAGACTGAGACAGTGTGCCTGCCTGGTCTCTTTGTCACATAGTGATTTTCAGCAGCAAGTGACAGCCATGTGGCAGGTTATAGGGCTATTACTAATTTATAATGTACCTTTCCTCTCCTTACTTGGGAAGCTGTCTGGTCTAGTGAATGGAAGTTTCCGTTGTGAGTTAGGAGCTGGGTTATTTTCCTGACTCTGTCACTTATGTGCAAAGTGATCAAGCAAATCACTTCTCCTCCCTGGCCCTCTGATTCCTTCTACCTCAAGACTGCCTGTTTAGCTCGTCAGCTCTCTGGCGCAGAGATGGGCTCTTATGCTATGTATAATGGTGTTTAGCATAACAGGATTGTGGACTGGGGTTGCAATTTTTGTATGCATTACATTATTGAGAATCGATCCTTTCCTTCACCCAGTTTCATCCGTGGATTTGTGAATCTTATGAACCTCTCAGCATCTTTACCTAATCCCTTACTCTTAAAAATCAGCCTGATAGAAAAATGCTGCCTACTCCCAAAGTGAGATGGTTTGACAATTCACTTTTCTTGTGGAATTTTATCCTAATCTGCCGCACTTTTAGAAAAGATTGTTTATTCGTTCCTACCTCCTTTTTGTGCTAGATTCTCTGCCCTTGTGTGAGTGTCTAGATGGGCGAAGCACTTGGTGGACAGTGAGAACTGGCTTTCCAGTATGAGAAGTCACTGGTGAAGGTCTGCTGTTGTAGCATATTCTGGAATCCCTGAAAGTCATCGTTTAAAAGGAATAGCTGGAAAGTATAAGGTTCCTGGAGGATTTGTAGGATTCTGTGGGAAATCTCCCTTTACAGGCTCCTGCAGTGTTGGGATTTGTTAAACTCCCAGCAAGACGACTCCATGCTGCTGTGCCCTCTCATAATGCACACTGCTGGAGTAATAGAGTGCACAAGCTGGGCAGCAGGCGTTTCTGGAAATTAGCAACTTTTGGAAGCATTTATGGCTGTCACCAAGAAACCTTATAAGTGATATTTCTTCTTTTGGGAGACTTTCTGTTACCTAACACTGTTCTTGCCATTATCTCAGTTTGAATCCCTAGAATTTTGAGTTTATGACCCTTCAGGGACAGAACATCAATTGTATTTTGCAGGTGAAATCGACATTAAAAAAAATAGTATGCAGCTTGACTGAGACAACAGATGGAGGCCAAACCAGGAACAGATCCCAGGATGCCAAGTGCTATGTCACCTCCTCTAACCACTGGGCTGGCTTTCCTCCTCTAAAAGATCTTGCTAGAAATCCTTGCCAGCTTTCAAAAGTGCCTCTGGAAGAATCACAGTCAAAGGTGACTCTAGAAACAATCCAGACCTTTGGGCATAAGACTTCATAGCAAGAGTAGTATGGTTTGATGTACTCTGTCCCATATTGGATCTGTGGCTGGAATACCTAGTTAAGGTCCAGGACTTATTGGGACTCTCTTCCTTGACTCTGATGGGCAGTGGATGAGGCCTTGCGCATCGGATCCACTCATAGGTGCGACTTGGGCCTTGCCTCAAGGCAGACTTGAGGGTCCCTGGCCTGTACTCTAATTTCCAGAAGAACTCATGATATCTCATATGTAGCTGTGCTGGCAAACCCACCAGTCCTGCCTGGATAATCCGCCTACTCTTGACAACTTTGAGGCATTTTTCTATGCTCTTTCAAATTCAATATCTCTCCTTGTCTTCTGTCGAAACTTTGGAAATGAACCCCTTCAGCGGTGGGAGAGCTGCACTCAGAGAGCAGTCTGCCTGGGTGCATTGGCTCTGCTTAGTTGCCTGGTTGCTTATTGACTGAGAGGGAGTACTTAGCCATCAAGACCCCATTTGTGTATATTGTAATAAAATGGTCCTGCCATACCTTCAGTGGCATGCAGGTCAGGCCTTTAGTTACCTGTGGAGAAGGGCAGGAAAGCCTCTCTCTTTACAAAGTTCCCTTCAGCGTCAAGGAAGTGGTTGGGGTTGAACTGATATGGTGTCTCCCATTGCGTCTTATCCAGCAGCACTGAGGTGAGCGATGGGATTACGATTATACCCTGGAAGAAAAGTACGTTAAGGTACAGAACTTAGCAAGAGCGAAGGCCTGCCTGGGGCTGTCATGCTCGAAGCAGGACTGAAGATCTCAGGCAGCACTGAAGGTGCTGTGATGTGGGGAAAGGGCCAGGGACTAGGAGGAGCTCCAGAGAGAAGTGATGTCCAAAGTGAAGGTACTAAAATGTCTCACTCTATCTTCAGTAGATTTGTTCCACCTGGCATAGGTGGAGATGCTGAGGGATTTATTCCCATTAGTCAGCTGAGAGGTAAGTCAGTTGAAATTTTCCCAGCAGTGCCAAGGATCAAAGCCAAACGCCACATGGAGCTATGGGAAGCTCAGGCAGAGGGTCAGGTCCTGTAAGATGCCTGGAAGATACTTGACTCTGCAAATGGCATCCAAGAGGCAAACCGGGATCACTCTTGGAGTGAGGAAGTGCTGAGCATGACAGAGACAGGATTTCGAGTCCTACAGTACTAGTCTCTCTGGGCTTTCAGGATGGTCTCTGGAGAGGAAGAAACTCTTCTAAGCCTCATTTACTTTGGGCTTCTGTCCTTTAACTCTCTCCAAAGAAGCTGGACTCTAAGAACTAGCCAGTGCCCCATGCAAAAACAAGAAGGGTGATATGTTCCAAGGTTCAAGCAATTGTGTACCTTGGGAAGGAAGTAGCCCCTGAAGTGGGTGTCAACAGCAGTGCAGCGGGGAACGTGGGGCAGGAGAGTGATAAACCTCTGCACCTCATGTATCACTGCATTCGTAAACGGCATGTTCTTCCGGTCCTCATATGTGGCCCAGCTTCCAGCTTTGACAGTCCTCCCAATCTCCTCTTGCACCTTTTCTGGAAGGAACAAACAAAGTGAACTTGTCCCAGCAAGGATTTTGTTTTGATAAAATCATATTTTTCCAGGCTTTGGAGGGAAGAGATTTCTAAAACACCAATCCTGGTTTCCCCAGCTCTCTCTCTAGTTCAGGCATGTGCATGGATAGTTCCCCCAGCATCATACTTTGGTTTCTGCTCATACTGTCCCCCTGCAAGGCACAGAGGCTGTTTGTTTTGACTTCATTCCACACCTAATTACATCAGTAGTTCATAATAATAAACAGATGGGATTCAATTCTTGAGGAAAAAGAGCTTCTGTGTATCTGAGGCACAGCCTCTCCCCTCCTTATCAGCCATGTCATGGATGGAGAGTGAATAAAGGTAGCTCACTTTGAATCTCTGGGTATTTCATCATCAGCAGAACGGCCCACTGTAGGGTTGTGGCTGTGGTCTCTGTTCCCGCCATCACCAGGTCGAGGATGGATGCTATTAAGTTGTCATCATGGAAGAGGCTGTCTTTCTTGTTTTTCTCCTTGAAACACACAAGTGTACTGACTGGTGAGAAAGCTCTTAAAACAGTCAGTGTTAATATTCAGCGAGCTCGGGAAATACTACATAACCCATTACACTGTTGGGTATGATCCTGTGTTTGTGAACAGAGCA